GAGCTGTTCCGCGTATTTGCATTAAAATTAATGGAACATCCGCCCTTCCGCGAGCGGGGTAAAATTTGACTGAGTGGAGAAACTACAGGAAACAAACGAACCAACATCTTTACTACTGTATTGATGTAATAGCGTCGGGGTAAAATTGCTCTCCGTGTACAGGTACTTACAATGCATTTCGAACGGATGTTCCACTATATTGGGATAAGTAAATCTTATGATAAACTGACCAATGAGAAATATTATTTAAACAGAACGCATGAACATAAAGACATGCTTGGTCAATGATGGTCTGGTAATCATAGAAACAAAAGCAAAATTTAAACAGTACAATGGCCAATATTACAACAATAGCAACGCCCGATCCCGGAGTGTAAAAACAATAGCCACCATGGTGTACAATGCATGATGAACTAATCGAAAGATACCAGCTTGTAAACCAAATTATATAAGATAGGCCTATGAATATATGTCATAATAATCAATGAATATAGACATACATGTACAATGATATACCCGCTGAATTATAATCTAAATGAATTAAATAATACATTAATACCCGTAGGTGCCATAGTTCCAAGTTTAAAAATTCTTCTTCTTCTTCTAAAAATGTCCTAGATGTATCAGTAGTGTTACAAATTTTGACTCCAGTAACTACAAAATCATTATCAACATTATGTCCTGTCTTAAAATGGAATGCTACCGGGCATCCAGGTAGTGCTAGTCTAATTGATCTTAAATGTTCTGTTATTCTATCAGCCAGTCGCTTTTGGTTTCTCCAATGTAATGCATTTCTGGAAAATTATTGCATAAATAAGATTCGTGCAAGTACATGTGAAATTATCATATATTTTAACATATTAAGACGGTCCTTAAAGTTTGTTGGTTGAGTATACATGTTTACAAATATTACACCTTGGTCTCTGACACGAAACAGTATATCCATTATGTGTGTTTGTGTGTGTGTTGGTGGTGTGTGTGTGGGTGTGGGGGGGGAGGAGATACACACTGAAACGTCATAAGGTAATTCTTTGTCCATTTTAAGTGGAAAGAGGAAATTAAAATAAAGTTAATATTTCGTGAAGTATATAAAAGAAAAAACAGGTTAACCGTAAGTAAGTATAGATCAGCTATAAACTATCTAGTGGTAATGCAGTATTTTTTGTTAATGATAATAATGATGATAATAATAATAATGATAATAATAATAATAATAATGATAATAATATTAATAATATTAATAATAATATAATACT